GAGAAAAACTCTTCAAATGACTTATTAGTCTTACCTTCGTTGACATTGATTACATTTGTCCAGCTAATTTTTGAGAAATCACTACATAATTCGACATAATTTATTTGTTTTAAATTTCGACGAAAACTGCGGCTTTTACGAGTATTAATATTGGTTCTATAAAATAAATGTATTAAAAATTGGAGCAAATGATCTGATGCCGTAGAAGTAAAATTACTTGCAAAAATATTTGTAGAAGTTGCATTAGAAAATATGTAATCAATTAGAGTTTTGGAATGATTTGTGATTCTTGTTGGCAAAGAAAGATATATAAAGCAATAGTGTCTAAAAATTCAGAGACAGAATTATCTGAGTTTGCTAATAAAAGATTGACATTAAAATTGCCTATTAAAAAAGGTAGTTTTAATTTTTTTCCATAGATAGCTTTTTGAAAAGTTGAATTAAATATGATTTAATAAATTCTGAAATATCCATACTAGGATGGCGATAAATACAGCCAATAATGATGTTTGATTTTTTAAGAATTATGATTTCCACAAACACAGATTCTAAAAGCTTTGGTTTAAGCATATTAAGATTATATCGAAGTTTGTAAATTAATGTATTCGATATATAAAGTAAAGCTCCTCCAAAATAAGATTTTGTTGGAGTGTGCTCATAAACATAACCGGTAAGATTTATTGGGATAGTTAATAGAATGTCATTTTTTAGTTTAGTTTCAGTTATGCCAATAATACTGAATTTATGATTAATAAGAGATAAAAGTGAGTTTAATTCGTCAAAATTTTTAACAAGAGAAGCAATATTTAAATGAAAAAGAGAAAAATTATTTTTTTCGATGTTAGAAGAGTTAAAACTTTCTATGTCCATATATTTACAATTAATAGGGTTTTCTTCAAGGTTTACGTTATTGTCATTGTTGTTATTAAGTTGATGGGAAATAAAATCATTAAGTTCATTATAAAGATTAGACTGTATGGTGTTTGGGAAAGATGATATGTTGTTTTCGAATTTATTTATATAAATCACTTTATCATTTGTTGTTTGCAGGTGCAGCTCCTTATCTGATTAAGTACTGAATGGAAAATTTTTTTCCCTACATGAAATATAGAACCAGATGTTTTAGAGTTTTTTTTTATTCTAAATTCAAATCATTCAGACAACAACATTTTTTATGAAAAAGGTTTAGGCAATGATTACATTGAAGGTAGTGATGGTTTTTATTAATTTTCTTGAAGCAATCTTTGCAGTGAGTAGACACTTAAGTGGTAAAGTTTATAAAATGAAAATGATTAAATGAACTTAAATAAGGAAACAAAGAGTAATATGAACAGCAATATAGTATTTATAAAACATAAATATAATTCAATCGATAAAATAGTAAAACAAAAATACTATTTATTTAACAGTTAAAATAAATAATAAAAAAATACTATTAATAAAGTAAAAGAAGAATAACGTAAATATATATTAAAAAAAAGTTATAATTGGTTAAATGATAAGTTGTAAGTAAAAAAATAAAACAATTTATATTAAAATAATAATAAATTATAAATGATTATAAGTAAAATATTATAGTTATAATAAGTGGAAAATATAATAATAAATTATCAAGTTTATACTTAGTATTTTAAGTTAATAAGTAAAACTATAGTAACTAAGCTAACAAACTATATAGATAAATAAAAATAGTAATTATAATACTAGTAGCAATAATAATTATTATAATAACAATAATAAAAACAATAATAAGTATATATAATAAAAAACAATATAAGAAAAAAGAAACAATTAATATTAATATTCAAAGCTAGAAAAAAATAATAATAATATTCAAAAATATTATTATTATTTTTTGTAAAACTTACTAACCTAAAAATTGTAAAAAATAAAATTTGCGAAAATATATTAACGAATAATCATAATAATATAATAACAAAAATAATAAAGTTAAAACAATATACACTATAATACACAGATAATAACACTGAAAATTTGGAGAAAAAGCAAATTCTATTGGTATTTTTATATGCTGATTAATCTATTTTCTATATAGATACTTTAAAAATATATAACTATCAAATATTATTAGAATGACGAATTTTTTTGGAATTATTTATTTGCTGTTGATTTTAAAATAAGCCACCCCTAGAAATTTGCCGTCTGTGTGGATGGCACATTTTGCACATGCCACATGTATATATATATATATATATATATATATATATATATATATATATATATATATATATATATATATATATATATATATATATATATATATATATATATATATATATATATATATATATATATATATATTTTTAAAAACAACATTTAAAAATGAAGTAAAAAGTAAAAAATTAACTATTTTACAAGACTTTGCGTACGTACGCAACCTGAAATATCATTAAAGTCAATGACTGAAAACTGGATAACTAAGTGCGACTTGTTCATATTAGCGCCCAACATTTTCAGTATTGACTTTAATGATATTTCAGGTTGTGTACATACATAAAGTCCTTGGGTCCTGTGAAATAGTTAATTTTTCACTTTTTAGTTCATTTTTAAATGTTGTTTTTAAAAAGTTTTTTTTATATATTTATATTTTTTACTTTTTAAGCCATTTTTAAAACATTATATTAAAAAGTTCTTTTTATGTATTTTTTATTTTTCACTTTTTAGTCTATTTTTTAAATGTTGTTTTTAAAGAAATTTTGAAAATATTTTTTGTATTATTCAACAGCAAATCTGTTTATTTAAAATAAAATGCTAAAAGTTTGTTGCTTTATTGTTTGTTTTAATTACTTTTCTTAAAGATTTGTATATATATATATATATATATATATATATATATATATATATATATATACATATATATATATATATATATATATATATATATATATATATATATATATATATATATATATATATATATACATATATATATATATATATATATATATATATATATATATATATATATATATATATATATACAAGACATTTATAGATAGCAAATGCATAATGTATATTTTATATCTATACATATCATGTATGCACATTTATAAACAAATTAGGTATGTAAAAAATATGTAGATGTATCTATATATAAACTTTTATATCTGTGGCTTGGTAAAAAAGTAGAAGAGATACTTTTAGTAGTAGAGATTTTTTGATTTTTATTTTTTAAAGTGAGTGTGTGTGTGTGTGTGCACACATATATACACGTACATGATATATAAACATATATAAATGATATATAAACGTACAAGGATATATTTTTGTACATTCATAGAAATGTATATATAATCAAGTCTGTGTTTACATTATTATTATTTTTTTTCATCTTCGCTTCTAACAAGGCTGCAACCAACCACTATTAGAGTTGGAAGTTACTGGAAGAGAAAGATTGAAGAGCAAGATAACGATTGACAGATGACTTAAAAGATTGCAAATTAATGATTTTTCCATAAACTTATGTTTATGGAAAAATATTAGATGAATAAGAGTTTTTGAAGAAAATCACTTTAGATACAGAAGCTGGAGTGATACAAATGTCAAGCAATGTATCAACCTGTTTTTTCATCTATTATATATTTTTGACATCTATTTTCTGGAGATTTGTTTTGCTGATAGATATGAAAGTAAGGGTTTTGATTGGAAATTGCAGCAGCACAATGTAAGGAAAACCATGGAAAAGAGTGAGGCTTGACCTGGAATCGTTAAGTGGGAATAAAAGAGCCTTAATCTACAAAGTTATGAAAAAAGCACATTTTTCAGCAAGAAGACGAAAGATTTCTGCCCATAGGCCATCATGAAGAAAATCATGGAAAGAGTCCCAGTCAGCTTTAAGGTTGTTGTAAGAGGTACAATAATAGGGGGATTCAAATGATGAAGAAGAATGAGATAAGAGTTTCAGAGAGACCAAACCGTGATCAGCAGCACTAAAGGGTGAAAACGGAGAACTGAGCACTGACTTGGATCAGAAACAAGACAAAAGTAAAATAATTCGAACTGTCTGGAAAGAGAGTTGGAAAGTGGACTATTTGAGTTAAGGATTGAGAAAAAGTTGTGGCAAAAAGCCTGCAGAGTCACTGACACTAGAGCCAAGTCATTCAGTGTGGTCAATTTGATCAGAAGTAACATCAAAAAGAGTGCAGCCTTAAGATGAAGGAGAGCAATATAGAATGCAATAGAGTGAAGTGGTGCTAAACAAAAGCACATAAAAGAATAGTCTGTAGATTTAAACCTTGTTTCCCAACAAATGGGTGAATTATTATGATTTTGTAAATGCCCAGGCCAAGCATGTGACTATTGGAGTCTTTACGAATTAATGGAAGATAATCATCAACACTAAGATCACAAGATGAGACAGTTGAACTCAAATTAGTCTCACAGAGAACAAGTTTGTTTGGTGAACTTTGCAAGAGTTAAGACTCAACAGAAGAAAAGTTACTTCAAAGACCACAAGTATTAGTGTATGAGTGTTTAGAGAACTTGGTGATGACAATATTTTTTTTTTGTTTTATAGCTTTTGGTACTTTAGTCATTTTTAAATTTATTATAGAACTTGACTCAAAGCATAGATAGTACTCAGTACACTATTCAATAATCCAAGCAATCACCTCATTACTATTAATAAACTCTAAGCCTTAACAAAGAGCTCCAAATGTGGCCTCGACAATGCACACCAAAGTACGGGACACAAGAACAGTGACACCATCCACGTTCAACATGGCACTGTTAACACTCTGATATTTTTAAGCTGTTAAAAGCTGTTTTTTTGTTGTCATTATTAAAATAATAATGACAACAAAAAAATAATTAAAAATACTTAATATGCAACGTTTTATGAAGCTAGCAATTTTAGTTACAAAGGTTGCCACTTGTATGCAATAGTATCAATAAAAAACACGGAAACTAATTGTAAAAATATTTTCTGTGACTGTTAAAATTTTATTAACATATTTCTCTTAAAAAAGAAAAATGCTTACAAATAAAGCAGCCAGTAAAAACAGCAAAACTGGAATACTAAGTAGACCTAAATACCATCGCCAACCAATAGAAGAAACTGTGAAAATAGCTAATGCAGCTGTTAGAGTAGTACCTGTAGCCCAAAAAAACTGAAAAAAAATTAAAAGTTACATTTTTACATAAAAATAATTTGTCAACAATTATCTTTAAAAAACTTACAAACCAACCAATAAAAACAAAGCTGACTTTGTCCTGATACTTTTGGGTAATACTTCTGTTGTTATTGTTACTCTAAAATTATAGAAACAGATTTTAAATAATAGAAAAATTGTATTTTCAAAAAAATCATTATCAAAATTTTCTTACGCTTGAGAAACTCCACCAACACCAAATCCAACAAAAAATCTCAAAACCAAAACACTTGCAAGATTAGGGGAAAGCGCTGTTGCCACTCCAAATATTAATACAATAATAGAACTGGTAAACAAACTCTAAATATTTTATTATTTTCTAAGTAAAAACAACAACATTGAATCATCAATAATAAAATATCTTTATATTTATACTTAAGTTTTTTTTTAATTTATGATGGTGATCATCATTACCTTGAACCTTCCATAGCGGTCTGCAATAATTCCCCAAAATATTGCTCCACAGCCAAAACCAATAAATACAACCTAATTTATATAAAAAATTGGAATGTTTTTTTGCTATCTATCTATCTATCTATCTATCTATCTATATATATATATATATATATATATATATATATATATATATATATATATATATATATATATATATATATATATATATATATATATATATATATATATATATATATATATATATATATATATATATATATGAAGACCTCAACGGAAGAACAATCAGAGTCACACTCTTGTTGTTTTGAGAAAATCAATTTTTAAGATTTAAAATACCATCAGTTATTTCAACAAATTAAAATTACCCCAAAAATCATTTTAATTTATAAAACATTTATTTCTTAATATAGCAATTTAAAGTTTTATGTGAAAATATCGGTTTATATGGTTGATATTGATACTGTAAAAGGGGAACTGCTGTTTGGACTTTGATCGTTTTTCTGTTGCATCACACCAATACATGCCAAAATATTCCACAGGTTAGTTCCTAGAGACTTATTCTCATAACAGGTTTTTTTAATTGATTACCAAAGATTTTTAATTGATTACCAAGATGTTTTGTAGCCTGGCTTTAGGAAATCTTTAAATGCCTTGAACATATTCTGGTCGCAGGGAATCACTGTAAAGGGAGTTGGCTTGACACGTGCATTCCTGAACACTTGAACCCACTGGCTGGGAAGACCCAGATCTGTTGACTCTTTGATAAGGGCCACATTCAAGATATGAGTGACCACAACTTGGAAACCGGATTGAGATGCGCTCAAATCGCTTTTTTGTGTTTACCAACCTAAGTCTAAAAAGAGTAATAATAAAAAGTCTAAAGAGAGATTCTTGATTTATCCTGCACACCCAAAACAAAACAAGTCTTGTCACTACTTACGCGGGAAGTATGTGTCTATGAAGTGATAAAGCATGGAGCACACATCACCAATACCCTTTTTTGCAACAGTCTCGTGTAAAAGGTAGAAGTATACATCATCTGTAGACAGCACATGGACATTAATAGAGACACAGGTCAGTTGACGCTTGTAATAAATATCGTTGGAAGTTTTGTTGGGAGTGCATAAATTTTCCTGATAATCGAAAACGACTGCCTCTGTAGAACTATCTATCCAGACAAGTTCTTTCGTAGGAGAAGTCCCTGAATTTGGCATTCTCTTCATCTTTGCAAGGTTGCTGACTCTCCACTGCTATTACCTTTAAATAAATATCATTTCACTTATTTTCAAGAATCGAGAGCAATATGTGTGCAGTATTTTTTTTACTGGGCATTGTTATTATTTTGTAGGATGTTTACAAAACTGGTGCCAGATAAATAAGATAAGGCCTTCTTTTAGCTCTACAATTAATATTTTTTTGTATGACAAATTATGTTTATCCTGTTATGACCGCATTTTTAATTTTAATTAGTTTTAAAATGGCTTGTAAACACAGTTACAACATAGATAAAAGTGTATTAAATAAATGAACAAAGCCGAATGTGATAAAAGAAAGTTTACCATTTAACCAAAAAGGATAACACTTATACCAAATTTAATTTACAGTAATGTAGAAAGTTTACAGTACACATAAGCTATAACACAATGTTGCTAATAAAATAAATCTGCCTGAGATGGAAAGTGTCTGTGTTGATTAATGTACCTATTTTTATGCTATTTTACAGGATCCTAGAAAAGTCATAATCTAGAATATGAAAGATATGCTACTGCTGCTGTATTATATAATAAACTCCCTGAAAAGAAACAAAAGAGCCTTCTATCCTATGCAGAAATTTTATACACTAGTAAATTTATTATCATTGACCTAATTATTTTTACCCTGACCTAATACACATAAATGAATCAACAATACAGCTGAGAATGCTCCACACACGTCTAAGATAATTTGACTTACATAACAAAGTTTAATGTTAAATTACTCAAGAAATTTTTTTTAAACAAAAATACTGGCAAAACTTTTTCTAATTCTAAGCATGAGTAGCATTTTAAAAAGAGAGAGCAAGAGAGAGAAAGCCAAAACATTTCAACATTTTTGCATGGCTCGAATAAAATGACTTGTTTAATACAGCATTCTAGAAAAAAACTAAGACTTACAAATGCTGAAGTCAATTTTCTATGCAATGGAACAATAACCAAAGGTCTTGTATTACTTATTGTTGTTTCAGATGGGTAAAAAAAAGATTCTTTACCTGAACAAAGAAAGGTGCAAGTCTTGCGCATCTTTGCTACTAATCAAATTGAATTGAGTAGACCGTCTTTTTCTTCATCAGTAATTTTTTCAAAACATTTCATCTTGCACTTGCAATCTCCCCCTCTCTCATGACTTGATATGCCTTGAAATTTTAGCTGTTCTTTATGAATAAAATTCTTTTTTCTTTTCTTTAGTTTATCACTTACGATCGGGCAATCAGTGCTGCTTTCCGCCATCTTTAAAGCAGACATCTAGCAAAAATAGCGCAGGATTGGCTCGTACATGTCATGTGATAGAAAAAAAGCCAGCTGATAACTAGTTTGATCGTTTTGTCACTGTAAACATTGGACTCTGCCAATGTGTGGTGTTTTTAAAAATTCCAATAACTCAAGACTCCAATCATTTTTTAATCAGTCACTTCAGGCAGACAAAGTATGAGCCCAGGGCTACAATAAAAGGACAATAACTCAAAAAAATCAAATTTGTGACTCTGATCGTTCTTCCGATGAGGCCTTCATATATATATATATATATATATATATATATATATATATATATATATATATATATACATATATATATATATATACAGGGCCGGCGCAAGTAGGTGTCATGTGGGGGGGGGGGGGTGCCATCACCATTTTGCCGACCAAAAAAAAAAAAAAAAAAGGTCCTCGTTTTCCAAAATTTGCCGACTGTCATGACGACATTTGACACCCCCCCACACACCCCTATCGCGCCGGCCTTGTATATATATATATATACACAGAGTTGTTAGTCCTTGGCCTTGGACTTGCCTTAAGGTCAAAAATTGAGGCCTTGACCTTGGTCTCAGCCTTGGCCTTGAAAATTTTGGCCTTGACCTTGATTGTTTTGGCCTTGACCTTAAAAAAAATACATATTTTTGTATCGATTACGTTGAATTCTGTGCATAACCTTGGTGTATTTTTACAAAATGTGGTTTAATTGTCACAGCACTTGCTACTTATAGTTTTGTTAATAATTGGCCTTAACATAATATGAAAATATGAAGTATTTGGTCTTGAAAATGTTTGCGTATACCTTGGCCTTGACCTTAAAATTCTTGGCCTTGAGCTTTTCCTTGCTATTTGTGGCCTTGTTAACAACTCTGTTTATATATATATATATATATATATATATATATATATATATATATATATATATATATATATATATATATATATATATATATATGTATATAAATATATATATATAAATATATATATATATATATATATATATATATATATATATATATATATATATATATATATATATATATATATATATATGTATATATATATATATATATATATATATATATATATATATATATATATATATATATATATATAATGTATGTATGTACATAAAATAAATTTTTGAATAAAAAATACTTTTAGAGGTCCCTTAAGACTCTTGAACATATAATGAGTTCTTAATATCAGGTTGGATCTCAAATGAAGTGAAATTATATGAAAAGTTTAAAAATGATAACTATATTATATGAAAATAAATATGTTGGATTTCTTTTTTTTTTTTTTTAGCATTTTTACTTTCAACAAGGCTGCAATTAACCAATTTATATATGCAAATTATATGAATCAGGAATGCAAGATGAAGGAAGGGAATTCCAAAGAACTGATGTTCATGTAAAAAAATTAGATGAATAAGTGTTTTTGGAGAACCTAGGAACAGTCACAGTAAAAGAATGATAATTGAATGAAGAGTAATACGAGAATGAATTTCAGTAAATGGGAAAAGAGGTTATAGCTTTTTAGAGCAGTGGCCATTATAGCATTTGTAGATAAGAGTGAGAAAAGCAACATTATGACGATGTGATAATGGTTGGAGGTTGGCTGCAAGAGCAGGTTCGACTATGTTTACAATGGGTTTTCGCACCTTGTCTAAAAGAGAAAAAGCATCATTAGAACATTTTTTTAAGAAAGATCGGAACTAGAAGATGAAGGGTAGATGACTCATCAAATACATTAACATTCATAAATATAGGAAGATCTAAATTATTGGTATAACGATTGGCTAAAAAAAATTGGGCTTCATCTGAATTAAAGTTCACCAGGCACTGTGAACCCCATGCTGTAGCTGAAATGAGATTAAAGTTTTGCATCTTTAATCAATTTCAAGCTAAAATCCAAAAAAAGAAATCCAAACCACCAATATTTGTGGAAAAAAAATACACGAGTCAAACATTTTTGAGCACGAAGGAGCAGTTACAGTAAAAGGATGCAACTTATTTAACGATAAGTCATCCAAGACAGTTGACAGTTAAAAAAAAAATGACTGAACAATTAGCTCGCTTGAACAGCAGTCAATTATAGAAAAGAGAAGAGATATAACCTTACAATAATGGGATAGGTGCTCAAACTTATTAGAGGCTCAAACTTATTATAATATGATAGAGGCTCAAACTTATTAACTAGAACAGGTCTAAAAACAGTGTTTGTGGACATTTCTGAAAAAGAGAAATTAAAAGAATCAGCAATTTATTGAATAAATGTTCTCCATGAGAGGTCAGTAGTGAATGATAATCTGAGGAAATATATGAAATAGAGGACTGGGTAAAAGTGTTACCATTCATCAATATAGAAACAAAAGTTTAAGGCCAAGCTCAAATTTTCACAAAAATCTAATATCATCACATTCAAACATTACAACTGCTTTCATTTTTCATGAAATCATCAAATAACACAGATAATGTCACTATGATACAATTTTACTATCTAAGATCAGTCAATAATACAAAATTCAACAATATTTTACACTTCCTTGTTCTTGATCATTGCCTACATGTGCCTGTACATACTTTCAACTAGACTTTATCAAAACTCCTTTAAGATTTCCTAAACCCAGACTTTTTTTTATCATTCTAGTCAACTCTGGGGCCCGTGACATTTGTTGCTCTTATACTTTCAATTTTGTTTATAGACTTTCTATCAGGTTGAGGTCAGAGCTCAAATGGTCTATTTCTAGACCATTTGAGCATCTTGACTTTGTTTTTGGCCAGAAACTTGGTTGCAACTTTATAGCAGTGGAAGAGGGCATCATCCTGCATTAAAATGCAATTATTAACTTCCATATAAAGTTTGAATTCAGTGAAGATGTTTCAATGCAAATGCCAGATTCATAGCTTTCGTGACAGGTGTAAGCCTCAGTTTTTTAACCAGTTTATTTAAATCAAATTTTTTTTTTATTACTATTGAAATAGAAATTTAAATAAATTTTTTTAATGTAATCAAAAGTTGCATAAACAATTCTTTTCCTCTCAAGATAATAAAAGTTTTTATTATCTTATTTTATTCTTTTATGTTTTTTTTTTATTTTTTTAATAACTTCGCATAAAAAAAACAAAAAAAACAATAATTGTTACTATAAACAATTTTGCTTTCTGTTTGATAAAATAATTAGCTTAAAAGAGATTAAGTTTTTGTAGTTTTTAATTTTTTTCATTAGTAAATAGCACTTTTAGTTTTTTTTATTAGTAAATAGCGCTTACATCTATAATAATTATCATTCAAACTTTTTTAAATAAAAGTGGTTTTTTTATAAAATTAATTACTTCTTTTATCTTACCGCTTATAGAGTAATTTAAAAGTTAAAAAATATCAAAAGTTGCTTCATGCAAATTGCTCAAAGCCTACGCAATTCGTACGTAAATTGGCAGCTTAACGCTTTAAAACAAGCTCTGTTACCGCATATCAGCTATTTCTAAATTTCAAAAATTCAGTAAAAAATCATAATGTTGACGGCAGCTATAAATCCTTTCAAAAAGCAATCAAAACTAAAACAGTTGAAATAATGCAGTTAAGACAGATAGGTGATGCAATCATACCCTTATTTCAGTTATTTTTGGTGTTTGGTATAAAACTTTTGTTCATGACTGTATATTTACTTAACTACAATTTTTGCTATAATTAAAGTCCTTCATATTTAGATGGTACCTGCCTAAACCTTAACCCTCATTTATTGTGTGTACTGAATCTCCCAGTTTCAAGTATCAGTATCAATGATGTTTCATGCAAAATATATACCAACAAAAATTTGTAAATATGAAATTTAACATCATGTGACAAAACAATAAAACATACTCACATCCCTAAGGTTCTGGGACTACTACAATTAAAAAATTACTCACCATATATTTTTTTAAACTGTTGTTAAAACTCTATCTACTTTTTGTATTCAACATATGCACCTTAATAAACAAGGCTCTTGTTTTTGAGGGTTGACAGAGCCGCCTTTTTCTTTAGCTTTGTTATTACATAAGGAATTCAGTTTCACCTGATAGATAAATTAAAAGAACTTGTTGTTTGTACAACATGTATACATTAAGTCACCCGTAAAAGGGTTCTTATTATTCCTTTTTTTACTATTCTCATAGAAAATTATCACTAATTATGGTTTGCAAACATTCGAATTTACATTCGAATGATTTGATATCATTTCTGACACAGATAGCAATCGCACCACCTCTTAGTTCTCTATTACATAGATAAACAGAATAATTATCTAATTCATTCAGAGAGATCAATGTGAACTAGATCTCTGTGACAGTATTAATACGTGAATATTTAAGCAATCCTATTCTGGCTTTGAAATTGTTCAATTTGTTGTCTAAAGAGGTTACATTTAAACAAATTTAGTAATGATAGCAAATTATTTGATAAATAAAGTTTAACTTTTCAATATTGTTCAAGTTCAAATTTGAGCACATATTAGAAACTTTTTTTCCCATTACATGTACCTTATTTTAGATGTCTTCTATAAGTGTCTAATCTTTAAATTTAAAATTGATTTTTGATCAGAAGAAAATTGCAACTATTATGCTCATATTCATTAAAATTATAAAATTTACAAAAATCACAGCAATCAGAGTACCTCAAATTTTTTAAAGGTTTTGAATCTTTAGAAAAAAAATCAAAAATCAAAAAAAGATTTTAAATTAGCTTTAAATTAATTTTCAACTGTTTCTATATAATGGGAACCTGCAGAAAAGAGTGATTAAAATGAACCTGAAATAAAAATAAAAATGAAAACCTCTTAAAAAGAACAGTGAGATTTGACCTAATAAGTACAGAAAGATATATTGTTTACAAAAGTAAACAATACAATAGCTTCTCTTTACAAAACTCTACCTAACAAAGCTCTACCCAAAACTTGTATTGCTTTAATGTGTTGGGTAGAGATTTTGTAAAAATTTTCATAAGAAAGTAAAAAGTACTATGTTTGACACTATTGTTTAACTTGAGCAAGTGTCTGCACAGAGACTTGCTCAAGTTAAACAATAGTGTCAAACATAGTACTTTTTACTTTTTTATGTAAACTATTTTTAACTGTAAACTAACACCTTTATTGATTTTCTAAATTAAATTTAGTGATAATGCAAATCTAGCTTGAAAAGATCTTTTGTTATCTAGCTTTTTTTTATACTGTACTAATTTTAACTGATGATATTCCAAGCGATTCATTTTGCTGATTTGTTCCCATTTAATATATATAATCTACAATTAAGAAGTTTTTTCTCTTCTGTAAGTTTTGTGAAAAAGTCAAGTTTCAAAAAATACTTGGCTAAGCTCAATCCTATGATAGTAACACTTTGTAAAATGCTTACTGATTCTGAGGAGAAAAGAAATTAATTGTTTAGAGTTATACAGCAAATGGTTATAAAAAATGTTATAGTAGAAAGTTGTCAGAGAAAGCTGTATTAAAAGACTAGATAAAAAAATACTGAAAATTAGGTAACAAAAGGATCATTTTACAATTACATTACAAAAAAAGTTGAGAGTAATCTTAAGAAACTGGAATCAAATAACAAAGGAATAACATAATACAACATAATAAAGAAATTTAACTGAAACAAGAAAGGTATATCTCCAGTGAATAAGGTTAGTTGACCAACAACTGATAACCAGTACTTAAGTGAAACCAAATATTCAGAGGGTTTAGTTAGCAAAGCTGCTAAAAGTTTATGAGATACGGGTGTGTTTATTTATGTGTGTTCAGTGAGTTTCAGTGCTTTATTTATTTATTCAAAGTGTTTAATATTCAATCATTATAAAATTAAAGAAAACATGAGATAAAAATTAATTATCAAAACTAATTAAAAATTAATTATTAAAAAATAAAGTTTAGAGTAAAAATGCTTACAATGGATATTAATGCTTCCTCATAACTATTCAGCTTCCACTCACACAACAATATTGGAGCCAGAATAGAGATAGCAGTCATTTCTATTGCATCAGCTATCTTAAAATTATTTATTCAAAGTAAAAAAAAAAAAAAAAAATTAACAATAATACTGATTACATAAAAATAAATTTATGAAATAAATAAACTTTAATGCCAACTTTGTAAAAGCAGATTTACTACTTTTAGTTTATCTTTCATAAACAACTTTTTTAACTAACTTTACTAATTAATCTACTGGACTTTAATAACTATAATTTAAAGTAATGTTATAGGTATCAAAAAATTTTAATACAAATCATTATAATTTACAATACAAAATAAAACAAAAAAAAGATCAATAAATAAATGTGAAAGTCACCCATGATAATCCCATCACAATAATAAGTCGAATCTGATATAATCCAAATCCAATATGCTCGATTGCATCGTCCAAAGAATACTCTTGCTCATCCTCTATAGAATATCATATGACAATAATATTAGTTTTATACTGGAGGTTTTTAATGTAAGAACTGACCAATAACTGGACATGATATAAAATGATAATGCAATTATTAATATATTTTTAAAATATTATATTGCAAATGATAAACTTATATCAGCCAAATAATACAGCTGTAGATGCTTTGGTGCTGATTCCGTTTTTTGACAATTTCAGCACTTTTTATGTTGTAATTTTCAGGATTATGTTTTTAAATTATTCTTATTCAACAAAAAACTTTTCATCATACTTAATCATAAACACATTCTTCATCATAATTAGCCATAAAATACTCTCTATTTTAATTAGTCATAAAACAGTAAAAAAAACTAAAATTTTGTTGCGCATACATTCAATAAAATTACCTTGTTGTTTTAAACTCTTATCAAACCTTACCGCCCAGTTCTTAATGTTAAATTATATTTTACGAGCAACTGTTAAAAAAACTTAGCTAATTGTAATATGATATAGGTAAAAAGATGGAAAACAAGTTGCAAGTGAATGTATATATATATATATATATATATATATATATATATATATATATATATATATATATATTAATGTCATATATATAAATGTCGTATATATATATATATATATATATATATATATATATATATATATATATATATATATATATATATATATATATATATAATTTATTATTTAGAAAAAAAAACTTTTGAGTCATCTTTTAATAGGGTTGCAAGATATCCAGCTTTTACGAAGGAGAACACAGTAAAAAAAATTATTTTTACAGGTTTCGCATTGTTTTCTCCTCCGTAAAAGGCAGCTTTTATTAATTATATAGGTGAGTTATTATGTATTATAGAGCAAAAATATATATTTAAACTATAATTACAGAACTATGATTAACAGTAATAACCTTTATTATAGGTCATTATAATTTAGTAATGTAGTTTAGTTTTTTCTAGCTAACAACCTGACCAAGACCAAATGCTTTGACCTGCAAAAGACATGTTCAACTTTAACCAAAGCCTAACCTACTACCACAGACTGAGACTAACTACGACCACAGATTGACACTAAGCATGTTAATAAATAATAAGAATAACAAGTACACAAATAATAAAGAATAAGAAATAAAAATTTAAGATAACATAAAGAACATCAAAAGACATTAATTTGATGATACATCTATAACAGAATTCCTCATTGGCTTCACTTTTCTGAAAATTTTAAAAACTCTGAAAAGTTTTCAGAGTTTTTCAAATGAAATAACGTGATTTTAACATTTTGTGACTTTATTAAAATCATATTATTACTCTTGAAAATGACAAACATGCAACCTGCTGAAATGATTATTTTATTAAATTATTTATAACTTCTTGTTTAGTTGCATAACCATGACTATAAACTTATAAGCTTGTTGCATAATAATATTATGCAATGTAACACAATACAAATAAAAAGTTAAAAAATATGATGAATAAAAGATTGATTACAATATTAATAATATTGCTTTACACTATATTGTTTTTATAATGTTAAATGTAAGGTACATGTTTAGAATCATGATTTATAACAAAAAAATAATAATTTAAGACTTTAATCACTTTCAAATTTCATAAAAAAATTAAAAAGAAGTTTAACAGCCATTAACAGCTATTATAGACACTAATGATTCAGCTATTTAACAATATAATTTAACACCAGCATGATTCAGCAACTAACATTGTTATATTTATATATATATATGTATATAAATTGTATTATTTATATTAATAATATTTATATATGTGTATATAAATTGTTTAAATGTTAGTAACAACTAAACAATTTATATACATATATAAATATTGGAAAATCACTTTCTGAAAACATGTCATCATGAAAGAATATGTCAATGTTATTCAAAGAAAGACATTTATTCAAAAAAAAAATAAGATTAAAACTTTTTATGGTAACTTTTTATTAACTATGTAGAGCTTTGACACACCTTGAGTTTGTAAAACTTGTTGTCTAACCAAAAGTTTTATCACAAAACTATGGATGTTGGGAATTTTAACTGTAAATTGTGACACCAGGTACAATTTTATTCTATGTTTCATTCAAGAAGACTTAACACAGATAACACAAATTTAGACCAACAATAAGAAATGTAAAAGTTAAATACGCTAAAAACTAAGAATTGTTACTTTTTTTCTTCCTTGCAGTTTCTAGCGAGGATTGCAAATACCACTTTCCAATCCAAAACAAGATTGAAACTACTACTTTCCAAATCAATAATTGGTAACTGGTATTTCTGGTATAAATGGTTTTTGGTCTGGTATAAATGGTCATCTGGTATAAATGGTCTCTGGAATTTCTGGTCCAGAAATGTCATAAATATATAAATACACTTCAGTTAAAGACTACCACCAATACGCACACAAGTACGGAAAAATTTATATACTTATAAAAAAATGCTTTTTTTTTTCTTCTTCTTCAAAGCTTCAAAAAAACTTTCTTTGTTAAAATTCCTAATTACAATTAAGAGATTGATATAAAACTTAGCAGCCATATAATAATGCAATCCTGTCATTTCTTTACAACTATTTATGATAAAATAATTTTTAAAATTTAAGTATCATAAAGTATAACATTTCTGCTAAATTTTAAAGCATTCTTTTAAACAATATTTGTTAAGGATGAAAGCGATTGCTTTAATTCCTTTTGCTCAAATGATTAAGCTAATTAGATGATTTATTTGAATTTGAGTCAAATGCAAGTTTATGATACTGGTGTAAGTTAAAATTGAGAATATCATTTTTTTCATAATGACAAACAACACATTTGTTAGTTAGTTTAAGTCAGAACTAGAATTGCCACGATTACCCTCTGCTAGTATCATGTAAATTACATGTAATCCAGTACAAAATTCATAGTAACCCAGTACAAAACGCCTTATGCCTTTGTAAGATTTTTTTTAGTTAGTTCCAACTTTAAATACCACCAGTCTTGGAGACTTAGTTAAGTCAAGGGTAGAGATGGTGTATCAATGAAAACACCCATCTTAAATAGATTTTTACAGTATTGAACATTTGTCTCGTAAAAGGTTTCCTAGGCAAAGACTTAAAAGTAGGAATATTAATTTAAAAGTTTCTGTTGATCATCCTCTCAAACTTTTAATAAAGACTTGAGAGGGTGAACAACAGAAATGATAAAGGCATTATCATCTTATAGCCTGGTGTTTTGTTAAGATATGTCCTACCGACAGTACCGTGGCGAGAGAGTTGAAAACCTGCCCTCTCCTCATCTCCCCCTTCCCACTTCTATCCAAAAAAACAACAATTTGTAATTGTGCCCCAAAATCTATATCTTTTCCCGATTGGGGTGGGGGGTAGGTGGTATTGCGGTACATAATTAAAAACTAGATTTACCAACGTAAAAATCAATAGGAGGATGCTCTTTCAAATTATTATCTTTAGAGATGTTGCGTTTAAGTCCAAATATATAATAATATTAAAACATTACACATTTAGCAAAAATCTGAGTTGACCTTTAAGTCAGTTCCTGAGAAAACCACAATATACCTGTGAAAGCTTATGACCATGGGATTCCAAAAATGTAAAAATTTAAATCATCTGCCTATGTCCGAGAAAAAAAATCAATTTTGAAAATTTCCTTTGTTGCACAAATATGTGAAATGATAGCATGCCCAAAATTTTGCAATTTTTAACAGTATTTATCAACAATAAAACTTTATATTTATTCAACATGTTTGATTTTATGATAATTTAAACTACTAAAAAGTATGAAAAATTCCAGGAAAAGGCACTTTTTCCGGACGCAAAATCTATGAAGTAAGCATTTTTGAGGCTCTTGTGAAAAAATTGCAAAAATGCCGAATTCGGGAAGAAATCATGATGAAAACCGAAAAGTTGTATACCTTATGTGTCTCAAAAAAGCAAACAGACATCTAACTACGTTCAGCCAACAAATCAATTTTAATGACACAAGAGTTCCTCAAGGCATTTGTGAAACATGCAGGACTTCCTTAAGAAAAGGTTATGAAGGTCATCAAGTTGAACTGCCACAGCTCTCTCAGTTTAAAAAGATAAATGTTAAAATTCCCACGAGAGAAAATCCTTGTGAATGCTTAATTTGCAGTATTGGCCGTATGAAATTGACAAAAAATACCCTCTCAAAACTACAAAATTAGAAAAAAAAAAATCAGACAGAAGGTGCTCAAAATGTCTGACTCTAATTGGTAGGGGCTACCACATCAATGTTCTACTGCAAAATTTAGAGAGAACATGAAATATTTAGCTGCAAATAATGGTTAAGTTGCAGAGCATATTGCACCATCAGCAATCACAAACAAGGAAGTTTCTCTTCTTGGAACCATTAAACTTTCACAAGCCTAGAGTGGACAAACATTACCTATCATTTCATTTAGGATAACAAATCATAAACTTTGTTGTATTTTAGGACCATCAAGTGCAAAACAGCTGTTCAAGGATCAACCAGTTGTAACAGCCAAAGATCTCGCTCAGGTGCAAATAAATACAGGCTTGTCCAACAATGGTATCAGAAAGCTAGCACAAACAATCAACAATGTTAGCACAATCAAAGTTTTGCAGTCTTCGTTAAAAAATTTCAAGATCTCGGCATAAAATCTTGAAGACAGCTTCACTCAGACAGCAATGGCATTTACAAACTCTGACAAAAACAACTCAAAGCATGTGGTTGCACATTGTAAAAGCCTGAACTCCCTAATTAAAGATCTTATTCTGTCACGCAAGATTTTTTCAAACCATATAGTTAAAATGGGGATTGATGGGGGGGGGGGAGGGAGGGTTTTTAAAAGTCTGTTTTGGAGTTTCCGAATTGGAACCTCAGCACAATGATTATTCACCTCCCAGCAAACAATTGCTTACATGCCAAAAATTGAAAGATACTGGAATGAAAAGACAACTTCTTGTGGCTGTTGCTGAAAGCGTTCAAGAAAATTATACAAATATAA